GAAAATCACGTTGTGGGACATTTAGGGCAAGCAAATGAAATGACTTAATATTCTAAATTATATTTGCTTTCCCCTTTAAAAGCTATAAATATAAAAGGGTGGTATAACAATACAAAATTACTCTTTCCTGAATTAAAAAAATTAGGCCATAATATGTTTTAGAATTTTAGTGATACCTTTATAAAAACAATTTTGACTGTTAGCAAAATAAAAATCTACAGTGAAACATTATATTGGCAGATTTTAAAAATCTTTGGATTCAAAGACTTCTCTTTTTGCTGGGTTAATTTTACATTTATTTTTCTATAGAGAGAGCATACATAATTATTTACTCCCCTCCTCCTCACTTCCAGGTTGCATTTTATCTCAAGTAGATTTAAAAGCAGATTAGAAGTAATAGGATTCCAGGATGCAGGCAGATGTCTACTTGTCAAGGACGATCTCTCTTGCAATCAGCTCCTTCATGATTTCATTAGTACCACCATAGATTGGCTGGACACGGGCATCCACGTAAGCTCTGGATAAATTAGAAGGTGGTTGAAGAAAAAACCCAATATATTAGAAACTGCCAAATTTGACACTGTCAGGAACTACTAACTTCTTCATACCGAATAAAACCCAAACACAAAGTTCTAGTACATATTTCTTTTTCCAATATGGTATTGATCCCAGGTTGATATACCCATTTTAAAACAAAACAATAGCAACCTATCAAGATTCTGATAATCTGTATAGCTTTTAGTTTTATAACAGCACTTATAAGAGCATTTGTAAGTATATTTAACCTAATTAATAAAATTTAGCATATATAATGAGTCTAAAAATATGTTGTTGTTGTTCTTATTGACTGCACGACTCATAGCGACTCTATGAACAAAAGAACTAATGTCTTTCCATAACTATCACCATTTCTCCAAGTTCACAGAGTTTCCAGAGGTATGTGGATAAGGAAGTGGATGCCACTCCTACTTTCAAACCTGTTTTACAGCTGGGAGCTCCACCAAACACTGTCCACATTGGGAAACCATTCTGGTATTTGATATCCCAGGTACAAGGTTCAACTTCACAGCAACCCAGCACATTGACAAACCGTGATATACAAAGTGGAAGAGTGTTCCTCCAGATGTAACAGCACTAGTTTCACTTAGCAGTGGTTAAATGTCATCAAGTCAAATACGACAGAGTAAATTTTGCACAAAAGACCTGATCTCTGTTCTATAATTACCACCATTTCTGTACATTTATAGAGTTTGCAGAGAGAGGCATCTAGTTTAGGAAGTGGATGCCACTTGTGCTTCCCAGAATAAATCAATCTGGAAGCTCATCCAAACATTGTACATAATGGGTAACCATTACGGTATTTGACAAGACTATGGATCAGTGTGCAGCATCTCAGCAACATCAAGTTGTTCAGTTCAGAACATAGACAACAGATTCCTGTGTCATTCAAGGAATATTCATTAAAAAAATAAATTTGGCCTGAGGGCCGCATCACATCAAACACAACCTCAAAAAAACATGAGCCCCAAATTTTCCCTTTACTTGCCCATCGGGACCACCATCTAAAAGCAGCAAAAAGCCAAACTCCCAGAGTGGAGTCTCCAGGCCCCTGCCAGCAGTCTCAAACCCTCCCCCTGTGGAGTTTTAAAGCCAACGCCTTTGAGCAGACTTCTACTCTAGGCAAAGGCTCAAGGACACCCGCTCTTGAGGGGAAAAGAGAATACGTTAGACTCAGAAAATTTCGGAATGTCTTCATTTTATATTATTCTTAAATTTGTTATTCCAAAAGCCTTGCAATGCATTCATTTTATGGAAAAGAAATGACAGGGTTTTTTGGCATTGCATTAGATTCCACCTCACCCTGGTTCTCATCTATAAGAACAGACAACAATATTTCAGAAAATGTGGCTTCCAATACAATTAACAAGATACTTAATTTTTGAAAATGGTTAGTTCATAGTTGCTCCAGTTACACATAATAGAGGGCTAAAGTACTGAGTGGCTAACCCCACTGCCAGACACACAAAGAAGAAAATGCAATCAGGAGTTCACTTTTGGTAGTAATGACTATAACTATTCCATTGTATATTTTCCCCCTTCTCATTTAATCCTCTCAGCTCTCAGTTCAGAGAGAATATGATCGATCTGCCCACAAAAGAAGTGAGGAGGAAAGAGGTTGACATATTCGGTAATTAATGGATGCTATTTAATGGCCTCTGGAGTGCTGAAGAGCAGTGTTGTCTCTCTGGAGACTAAGGTGCGTCTGATACAGGCTATGGTCTTTGCAATCACCTGTTATGCATCAGAGAGTTGGACAATGACCAAGGAGGATAGAAGGAGAATTGATGCCTTTGAGCTGTGGTGCTGGAGAAGAGTATTGAAAATAGGACGACAAACAGATTTGTCCTGGAGAGGGTTAAACCGGGTGGCTCCTTGGAGGCAAGGATTCTGAGGCTCCGTCTAACTTACTTCGGACATGTTGTGAGGAGAGACTGGTCCTTAGAGAGGGATCATGCTTGGGAGGGTGGAGGGGCAGCGCAGGAGAGGAAGGCCCTCTATGAGGTGGATTGATTCAATGACTGGGATAATTGGGATGGGAGTGTCAGAGACAGCGATTGACACAGGACAGAGCAGAGTTTAGGGCTGTTGTACATAGGGTCCCTATGAGTCACAGGTGACTCGATGGCACATAACAACAACAACATTTAATGGCCACATAACAGATAATGTGCTGATTAGAAAGAGATTGTATCTTTTGTATTACATCACAATCCTTCATTCAGCCCAAACATCAGTACTAGTTAGTGCTGATCTTTGAACTTTGTTAGTAGATGAGCTTACAGGCTTCCCTCCATCCCTAAAAGCTGAGGGCGGGTGGTGGGGTGGGGGTGGTGGTGTTAGATTTTTAAGGTAGTTTTGAGTCAAATGAAATATTCTAACTCATTTAAGAACATGACCAATTTTGGACTTAGCCTTCTTCATATTCATCATGGAACTTGCAAACAGCAGGCGCTCGGTAAATATTTACTGGCTGGTTTACTGCATTACAAAGGAATTTTAGAACCTCAGTACCAAGCTTCGGGTACAACTTCTAAAACTTGCATTTGAGTCATTTGCATTTCTAAACGTATTTTTTCCTTTTGAACAGATTCTGCTCCTTCCCACCAAAGCCAGTGCTAACATTTTGAGGACCTGCCCAGCCTTCTTCAGAAATCTCAAAGTGTTTATACATTTTTGGGCTGGGCTAGGTTTTTTTCCTTTTCACAAAGAAGTTCCAACCAAGTGTGCAGTGACAGAGAGATTTGCAGACCTTTTATAGGTTACTAATTAAAACTCAGCCATCAACTAAAATTAACAGAGAAAAGCAGCAGAAGGAATGTTTAACTATGCCTAGTGATAAAGTGCTACATCTCAGGCAGAGACGTCCTGTCGGCCTGAGCTTCAAGTCTCCCAGGGAGAGTCAGACTGCACTAAAGCCACGTGATGAGACAGAGGCAACAGGGCTGAAAGGACAAGACAAAAAAATAAAAAAGGCCCCTCTTTTCTCCAAAACACTCAGAAACATACAGATTAAGTGACATAGCTTAATCTGGGGCCTAAGAGGGACACAAAGAAAATGTGTTGTTGTTTTTTTTCTATCTAATCAATGTCTACGTAATGTTGTATTAGATGCTGTTGTCAAGTTTGACCCAAAGGGACCCTAAGAACAACACATCTGAACCCTGTCCTAGCCTGTGTCGTTCTTACATTTTCTGACACTTTAGAGCCCATTGCGCTTGTCACTGTGCCAATCCAAAAGGTTGAGGGTCTTCCTCTTTTTGCCGACCCTCCACCTTTTCAAGCATAATGTCCTTCTCCAAGGAATAGCCTCTTCTAGCAACATGCCCAAAAGTATGTGAGATGAAGCTTTGTCTCGTTTGCTTCCAGGGAACACGCTGACTGCACTTTCTCCAAGATGTATCGGTTTGTTCTTAAGGCAGTCCTTGGTATATTCAGCACTCTTCTCCAACACCACAGCTCAAAAGCAACTTCTTCTGTCTTCCTCAATCAACGTCTACACAACACATTTATGATCATTTTTAAATTAGATATTAGTCTTTACATCTTTAAAAAAAGAGTCTTTTTCTTTATCTGTTTGGGGAGAGAAATAAATGACAGTTTTGTCTAATACAATTTTGCAATAAGTTGTCCAAGAAGGGCGACTATTCGTCATGGTCTTAGGGGGAAACATAAGTACCTCCAATTGAAACCAAAGATTATAAGTATGCCATCACACTGCAACATCTGCTTACTACTGGCCTGATGAGATCACCTCTAAGAAACATCTCGTTGTTTTGTGTGTACTATAGAATTGGAACTGATCCACAGCTGACCGACCCTCTGGAAGGTTTTCAGAGGCAGTTACTCACATGGAAGGAGAATGCCCAGCTTCCTGAGAAGCAGCTGGTGGTCTCAAAAGGCATGTCTTCTGGATTGCAGCACAACTTCTTGCCTTTATTTATGCTACATTCTAATCTTGGCCATTGAGAGGGTCGACTCTCCCCACCTACAACGCCTTCCTTAGAACAAGAACTAAGCTAGACAAACACTGAACACCTCTATACACCCACCATTCACCACTACTTCACTCCTTACTGTTGTGTCTTGTGAATAGGACAGATGAACAGTATGAATAAAATATGAACATGTACAGGAAAAAGGAAAATAATTATTTGATATGTGCAAACATTTACTCAATGTTTGCTTTTATTTCACTACTATATAAAGATTAGAAGAAATTTATCTGCTTTTGATTAAAGCCCCTTTGAAGTAGTTGTGAAAGAACAGAACACAACACATGAAATATAATAAAATCCACGATTTGATAAAAAGAATAAAAAGAAAAGAAATGATTTCGCTATTTCATGCCTACATTCCCAAGGCAGGAAAATGCCCTGGTTGTGGCAGAGCTTTTTACAAAAGATTATAAATTATACACACACTCCCCATGATTAAAGCTTTCTGAGCCCTGTGGGTAGAGAAAATGAGTAGATCTTCTGTTTTTGACTTCATGTAACTTTCATATTATGTTTATTCTCCTCACTAAGGACTAAAGGCAATTATGTTTTCAATTATACTTGCCAAAATGATAAATCTGAGGCCTTAGGCAGCCAGTTTGAACACTAGTTTGATAGTTTTCCCCCCTCCAGATATTCTACATTTAGATAAAAATTCGAGAAAGTTTTCAGAAGCCCATGCCATTCTCAAGTCTCAGATTCAGAACCACGTTAGCCTTTTCTACACATAGTAAAATGTCTTTGGGTAAGTTTTATAAACTGAAAACATCACTAGGTAAGTGAGAAAAAAGTTTTTCCTATGATAATGAGGAGGAAAAAAAGAAGGCTCTGAGGAGGTAACTGAGGCCAAAGACAGAAAGAGGACATTATAGAGATAGAGAAATGTCAGCCTGTTTACAAGTCAGTACTTAAAGTAGCTTAGAGCTACTACAAATATTCTCCATGAAATCCAATGCTATTGATAGATTCCAATCTACATAGACACTTTTAGGACAGATCAGGGATCTCCACTGGTGTGGTCTGGAGGAGTAAGCCAAAGGCTAAGTCTCTCTAGTGGTTCAAAGCCATCACCTTCTCTGTGGGAGAAAAATGGATAATGTCCTCCCATTTACAGTCTCAGAAACTCAATGGGGGGTCACCTGTGAATTGGTTCTGATTCCACAGCAATGAGTTTCAGACAAACGATCAGGGCTGTGAATCTTTATGGAAGTAGAGTGCCACATATTTCACCCCTAGGGCAGCTCGTGGTTTCGACCTACTGACTTTTCTGTTAGTAGCCATGGGCTTTACCCACAGAGAAACCTTTATTCACACTGAACATAATAAACAAGGGCATATATAATCTCTTTCAATTTGAATGAAATTAAAAATTCTATTTGGAAAAAATTCTTTTGATATTTTTTTAAATGAAAATACTCAAATAAATACTGGCAATTTAGATTTTTTTTCCCCTCCACATACAGATGAATTTTTCTCTTGTGTTACATTTATCTTATAAAAAGTATTATTTATACCTCTTTGTACTATTTTATAAGGCTAAGCACCAAACTGTCGTATACTGGTAATTTCACTGTTTAAAAAACTGACTTTTACAATTCTAGTATCCCTGACTGACTGTCAGTGAGATGGAAATGACTTACAGCTGGTTTTAGAGGCTGTAAATCACATAGGAGGAGATTTCTCATCTTAGTTCTGCAGAGCAGATAGCACGTTTGAGCCTTTGGGTTGGCAGTGCAACTCCTTTACCATCAAAGCTCTGACGGGGCTACCAGAGCTCCCTGTGGTAAATCTATAAAATGAAGTTACTTCCATTTACTTAACACCCTATGTAGTCATAAACGAAAAACTGAGAGAATCCTGGTGGCATAGTATGCAACATGTTAGGCTGCTAACTCAAAGGTAGGCAGTTTGAATCCACCAGCACTCTTAGGAAGAAAGAACCATAAAGACACCCATACGATGGAGAGGGTTTTGGTCTCCCTTCTGACTTAATTTTCTATAAATAGTAAAGAACCTTCCTTTTGATTCATAGCTTCAGAATAGGCATACTCACTTTGCAATCGGATATTCCCACATGTATCCCCAACCTCCATGGAGCTGCACGCAGTCATATGCTGTACTGTTTTGTAACTCAGATGCCCTAGAAGAACAAATAAAAAGCATGAAAGGGACATTTTAAATGTATTTTCATGAAGGCCTCACAGGAAATAAATTATTTATGATTATTTAAGTACAAACATTTATCAAGTAATTAAAAGAGCATATTAGCTAACCAGAGAACAGAATAAAAATTACATTTGAAAGAGATTTCAGGACAATCATCACATAAAGAATGCTCTTCATAAATTATATTTCTGGGAAAGGCTTTTGTTAAAGCTATAAACAAAATGCAGACAGCTTAAATTATTGTTTGGTTATTCTATTCTAGCCTTGAAAAGGATAGAATAAAAACTTGTGTTGAGCCTAATTTATTTAGATTATCTATCTGAGCCAAAGGAGTTGGCCTAGTGCCGCAAATGGAAAAAAGATCAGTGGTTTGAATCCACCAGTGGCTCCGAGGAAGAATGGTAAGCAGTCTTTTCCTTAAAGAGTTACAGCGCCCCAAGGCAGGGCAACTCAGAGGCAGAATCCCCTCAACAGCAGTGGGTGATATGATCCAAACGAACGGGGCTACTGCTCGGCTCTCTATCTCTTTTTGCCTTTGGAATGTATCCTTTTTTCCTCCAAAGATGTCAGTCCTTATCCTAGAGATACAAATCTTAAATTCGATAATGTGGAAAATATTCAAAGAAAAGAAGCAGTTTTTAAAAGGTTCTGATTATTCAAAAATGAACTGAAAGTAAAAGTGAAAACTTCAGAGTCGTGACCATTAAAATACAGTCTAACAAACAGGGAATGCATTAAAAAGTTACTCAGCAATTATCATTCCTGGCTTCACTGATAGTAATATGAGGTATACTTGAGAAAAACTATATTCTGATCTTATCAGAACAGCTGTAACTATGATTAAAAACCATAAGATAATTGGTAGGTATTTAACGCACCTTAATATGAAATAAATTTTTATTTCATTTTCAAGAAAAGGAAACAGAGCAAAGCATAAGCATAGACACAACTTCCCATTAAAATCACTTTCTTAACTCAAGCATAGGACAGCTATTCTTAACAAATGTAGCAACATTCTAAAGATTAGTATACAAGACCTTGGGCAATATTTGGAATTCTATAGTTTTTATATTTGGTTGGAATTTTAGTGGAAAAAGTGTATAAATTCTAAAAGTCTATAAATTCCTTCTTTTCAAGTACAAGTGTGTGTATGGTGTTTTCAAAGAGTAATAAAATCATTATAAGTGTAAAATATCTTCCTCAAAAGTATACACTTCTGCTATTTCTACATCACTTTTCAACCTGACAATTTTGTTATTTTAGAATCATTATATAAAGCACTGTTCTCCATGGTTCGCCTATTCTTTTTCTAATTAAAATGAACACAAGTTACTGATTAATGATAGGAATTTTTTCTAGGTTAATTTTGAGCTAATGTGATGTGAGAAGAAACCTAGTTGGCTTCTAAAATTGGATCTAAACTATATGCACTGACATCTTACAATATAGAAAGCCTTCTAGTGGTCTTTTCCAGGTAACTAATTTTTTATTTTTTGTTTATGTTGGTTTATTTTCCAATGTTCATACACATTGTTTTTCACACTGGATCTTTCCCATTTGCTTCACCCACTGCTCCCTCTACCCATCAAATCATGCGACCTTATGATTAAACACCCTGGCCCCCCACCCATGCTCACCTCTTGCTCCCACCCTTCTCTGCCCTCCTGAATCCCCATACTCATTCTACAATAACGGTCTATGCAATATTTGTCCTTATGGGACTGAGTTAGTCCAGTTAGCGTAATGCTCTCCAGTCCCTCCCAAGCTAGGTAGTAATTTACAAAATCATTGCTCCTGCGTGCTGCACAGTATTCCATCGTGTGAATATATCATAATTTCTCAATCCATTCAACTGTGGTTGGACATTTGGGCTGTTTCCATGTTCTTGTGATGGTGAATAATGTTGCTTTGAACATCAGTGTACAAATTAATTCATCTTTAAAACCATGGTTGATCAGTCTTTAATTCAGTTGACTGTCTTTCTAAACTTATTTGGCTATTTTTTTTTTTTCAATTAATAAAGCAAGTACAACTTTTGGCTACACAGTAAATACTTCATGGTATTTCTCTTAGATCTAGATCTTCAAGAGAAAAATCCTTCGTAACTGCCTCATTTAACAGATAAGTAATTAAAACAGATGCCCAACTCAACTACTTAATGAAAGTTTGGGGACACTATCTTAGGGCTCACAACAAACTCTGTCATTCACAGTGGCATGCAGACCCTCCAGAGTTTTTCAGGGGCTGTAAATCACACCGGAGCTTCTCTCTTCCAGAGGAGTGGTGGATTCAAACTGTCTGCCTTTGTTCTGGAAGCTCATCTGTCTACTTAGGAGGCAATGAAAGGTCCCTAAGTCTTACTGTTTCTCTCTCTCACTCTCATGATACTGTCATGTCTTTTTTAAAGAAATTTGAAAGAAATTATTACTTAAATGAAATAGTAAGTCATCCTTTTTCAGTCATTTAACAATTCACTTACAATCGCAAGAGTTAAATAACAACTTCAATGATTTCTTAGCACATTATAAATAAACTTAATGGAGACTTTCAGTGTTTTCTTTAAAAAAAGGGTTCATACTGCTATTCATTTATACAGCCTTCTTCCTTTAAGACCCTCATGGCTGAGTTTAAGGCTGGCCGAATTCCACAACAGTCTGGGCAAACACCACATTTTCATTATGGTAGCACGCATACCAGTATTTCGCCATGGATGCCGTGGCTGAGTCCAGACGTTTCTTCGAGTGCAGCTCGAGGCAGCTGTCGATAAAGGCCCGGGTTACACAAATGCGTGTTTTCAGTTCTGCTAGCTTATGCTGAACTGTCTTGAATTGAAAAGGAAAGAGAAAAAAGTAATCATGGTAGAAATAAATCATAAATCACTTTAGGAGAAAAAAAATTTATATATATAATGGAAGATCTAGGGGTGGACCTAGGGAGCTTTGGTGGTCTAGTAGCAAGAAGCTGCGCTACAATCCCAAAGGCACGTGGTTCAAGGTCACCAGCTGCTCCGAGGGAGGAGAGGCAATCTTTTCCCATGTGATTAAGTGTTTCTGAAAACCTGTTGAAAGGCCGGCTATGGGTCATTCCAACCCTGAGATACACAACAATAATAGCAGTGGATTGAGGTGGGAATAATTTCTAGGTGGTTTCATCCCACCAGCCTCATCCTCTTCACTGCATAGAAACATCCAACCATCTTCATACTAAAAAAATAATTATATAATGGAAGATCTATAAAACAAGACAGAAGTGGCACTGGCGGATATTTTTTTCCCTTTCATTAACTTACATTAAAAAAAAATACAACATAACCTGTTATATTTAGTGCTAAGAAAACTTGCTCTAAGAGAAAAGGTAAAAAATTAAAAATAAATAACCTTTCACATATTATGAATTTGAAAACTTAGAAAACGAAAGGTACTTTCTTCTACAGGAGCATGACCTTAATGAATGAGCACCATCTTGTGGTAAAATCTTTCCATTACAGCTATTCAAAAATACCCATTTTGTAACCACAGATCCTTGAAGAATTTTTCTTTATTACTGAAATGAACTGTATATATTGTCTTATTCTTCTCTTTTGACTTGGAATACAAAATAATATAATCACAAGCTGGGGGCCAGTGGAGTTCTACATGCATACAATCACATTATAAATATTTGTTGTTAGGTTCCCCTGACTATAACTCAAAGCAATCCTGTGAACAACTGATCAAAACCTCATCCTATCCTGCACCATCCTCAGGATCTCGGCCATGGTCAAGGCCACTGTTGCAGTCAGTGTGTCAATACAATGCACTGGTGGTCTTCCTCAATGAGAAATAGTTATTAAACATTTCTACCTCATCAAACATTCGATCTAGTTCTGCAGAGAACTGTGGACTAATAAAATGAGAACACCTATCTACACTCTCCCTGCCTTCCAGCTCCTCAGCATAGACCGCAACCTTGCTCTTGGAAATCACACTCTCTAAACCATCCTCAGTTGTCCTCCAATGCCGCTAAATTAACTTCATCCCTGAAAGATAAATAGAAAATGGAGTTCTGATCAGTTCTGTTAATGTCACGAGTGAGACCCTCACTGTGGTCCATAGAAGGCAAACACATTGAAGTTCATCCCTGACTCCTGGTTATATATGGTTTCTTTGGCATTTTTTTAAAATAATATTTTTACAGTGTCTTGGTGAGTTTGCATAGCAAGTCAGGTTCCCATTTGACAAGTTCCACACAAACTGTTTTACATTAATTATATTTTCCATAATAGACTGACATTCTCTTTCTGTGTTCTAGTTGTTCCCTTACTTTTACTCTAGTTTCCCTGCCCCCTTATTCTCATCATTGTTTTTAGAGTGAATGCTGACCTTTTAACCTCATATAGTTTCAAAGCAGAGAACCTGGCTTATAGACAATATTTTTATTTTGTGAGCCATTCCACTATTTCACTCAAAGGTCACCTTAGGGCATAGATTTGGTTCAAGATTTAAAGAGTGTCCCGGGGTGACAGTTTCAAGGAGACCCCACTCTCACTATTATTCAGATAGTTTGTTGGCCCTGAACTTTCACCTTCCTTGAGGATGCTGGCTTGGTCTTGAAAGCCTGGCTCTCCACTTTGAGGAGCCCCCACAGGCCTAACTGACCAGTTAAGTTCAAAGTCCACCTTAAACTTAGATCCTCCATGTAAAAATTCAAATAGAAATGGAGTTCTGATCAGTTCTGTTAATGTCATGTGTGAGACCTTCACTGTGATTCACAGAAAGCAAACACATTGAAGTTATGGAAAAAGTGGTTAGTGAAATGCAAACTAGAAACGAAATGCAACCTGTCTGTATACCAGTAGGTTCACAGCCATGACTGAGTTCTCAAAGGAGGGCTCTGAGGCCAGATTCCCAGATGCTTTTACTCCTGGCTTGTACTGTTCGCTGAAGCAATTCTCAAATTGCTAAACCACAATTAGGAGTCACTGGCAATGGGGGCAGTTTGAGTATTTTCCATTTCTGGAAAGGTGTAGAGAAGGAATATAAGAAGAGTCAGGAGCAGGCAAGCCCAATGTGTCAGGAGGGATAGGAACTGTGAGGGCCAGAGTCCTCCTAGCGGTAATAATACTTTACTAGATTGCTAGTAAAAAGAAAAGAAAATACGCAACCAACTCAACTTCATACCTCTCCCTTGGGTTTACTCTTATCTGATTTGGGAGGATGACTGTCATCTATTAAATCTAAGACCCAGCAGTGAGAAGGCTGGTACCACACTCCCCCGTCCGTGTCTGTGTCTTAAACTCTAATCCACAACATGTCATACAGGCTCCAAGAAAACATTCTCCTTTTCTCACCTTCTCTTTTTCTATCTCCTTTTTTTGTTCAGTTTTGTTAGGCCAAGCCTTAACCTTCAACAATTAGCATATCATAGCCCCATCCCACACATACACATTTCTTCACAGTAAATTTAGAGGTAGGATAAGAAATGAAAACAGTGTGGAAATTCTTTATACATTGAAAACACATGAGTTTTAAAAGCCACCTTATTTAAGTAAAGGAGTAAGATAGATTTCATGCAAATAATGGACCTAAAACATGAAGCATTCAAACAAGTACACTTTGACATCCACTTTTTGCATTTAATGCATCACCTATCAAACTATGCCAAATACATGCTTCACTGAATCTTTAAAAGAAAAAAAAGAGAGAGAACACATGAGCCTATATATTTTACCTGGGAATGAGGAGGACTCTGAACTTAAGATTCTTCTTTCTTTTATCCCCACATGATGCCTCATTCACAATTTTATGCATGATCACTGATATGAGAGAATCAGGATCTCTAAGCCTATGTGCATGCAAGAAGCTTCTAGAACCTAAGTTAAATTTCAGACCAAGATGGAACAGTTGTGCTTCAGTTCATTCTGTAAAGTTCAAAGGTCCGACAGAATTAAAGCCTCCAAGAGTATAAAATTTATTCTCTGGAGAACAAAGGCATTAAGTATTCACCCATTTTTAGTATTTAGTTATTTACAAAACAGATTTGGCCTTTACTGCAGACACAGACTGAGACATGGATTTTGAAATCATTCTCTAATGAACGCTGTCTTTGAGTCAGTTGTGACTCACAGGACCCATCCTTCCTGTTTCCAAGGATCTTTATAGGACGAGAATGCCTGTCTTTCTCCTGTTGAGCGCCAAATGGATTGAACCACCCTCTTTCCAGTCAGCGGTCCAACATGCAATGCCATGAGGCTGCCTTCTCTAACGAATTGTACTGTTGTGTGTTGAAGGAACTGACCCATGGCTGACCCTCGAGTTTTCAGAGGCTGTAAATCACATGGAGGAGACTGCGGATCTTTCTCCTGCAGAGCTTCAGGTGGATTTGAACCACAAGCCTCTGGGATTGCAGCACAGTTTTTTACCACTAGGCCACTAGAGCTCCCTATAGCTGATCCAGAAGACTTTCAAAGGCAGTTAATTGCATGGGAAGAGACTGTCTATCTTTCTCCCATGGAGCAGCTGGTGGATTCAAGCTGCAAACCTTTGCACTGGGAGAGCAATTCTTAACCACTAGGCCACCAGAACTCTCTTCTTTAATGAATATTATTATTGCTGTTGTTGTTAGATGCTGTCAAGTTGAATACAACTCAGTGATCCTATGAACAAATCTGAACTCTGTTCTATCTTGTGCTACCCTCATTATCTCTGACATACTTGAGTCCATCGCTGCAGTCACTGTGTTTATCTAGTGAGGGTCTTCTCTTTCACTGTCCCTCCACCTTTCCATGCATGATACTCTTTTCCAAGGGATAGCCTCTCCTAGCAACAAGTCCAAAGTGTGTGAGATCAAGAGCCAATGCTAATGAATGAAGAAGTTCAGATGCATTGAAAACATTGGCAAAAAATAAGGCCCCAGGAATCGATGGGATAACAACTGATAGGTTTCAGCCTTCAAGCCTTGGATGTTCTCACTGTCTATGCTAGGTAATTAGGAGGAGAGTTGCTTCACCAACTGACTTGAAGAGATTCATATGTGTTCCCATTTCTCAGAAAAGTGATGCAATACAATGTGGAAATTATAAAATAGCATGAATATCACACACAAGCAAAATGTGGCTGACGATCATTCAAAAAATGGCTAGAATTGTACACAGAATTGCCAGAAGTTCAAGCTGGATTTAGAAAAGGCCATGCAAAGAATACCAAAATAATGTCTATCTGTGTTTTATTGGCTATGCCAATATTTGACTGTGTGGATCAAAACAAATTATGGCTAACATTGAGAAGAATAGGAATCCCAGGACACTTAATTGTCCTTAGTTGGTTCATGTGAAACCTAGACCTAGGCCAAGAGGCTGTTGAGTGAACAGCACAAGGGAACCCTACATGTTTTGAAATCAAGAAAGGTATGCATCAGGGTTGCATTCTTTCTCCATATCCATTCAATCTGTATGCTGAGTAGATTATTCAAGAAGCTGGATTCTATGAATAGGAATATGGCATCAGGATTGGAAGAAGACTCATTAACCTTCCTCTCATCCAGAATCTTCATTATGTAGATGGCACTCCTTTGCTTGATGAAAGTGAGGAAGACCTGAAGCCCTTGCTGTAGAAGATCAAAGATCCTTCAATATGGACTTTGTCTCAATATCAAGGAAAAAAAGTTTCTCACCACTGGAAAACTATGTAACATCATGTTAGATGGAGCAAAGATTAAAACTGTCAACCACTTCATTTTACATTCCACACTCAACACCCTTGGTACCAGCAGTCAGGAGAACAAGAGATGTATTGCACTGGGAAAGTCTGTAGTCAGGGACTTCTCCAAATTACTGAGGAGCAAT